TCATCCTGGGTCTACCCTCATGGAAGTCACAGTCACGTCAGCAGGACACAAACTCACACCCCTTCCCCTCCTCTCATGCCTTTGAAATGCTCATAGACCTTTCTCTTGGAGCCAAAGCCTTGACATCACCCAGGGGCTTGCTGAAAACATAACTACACCACATCTGAGGTGTAACCAAATCCCCAGGTGAGCCATGATCATATTCACAGCTGGGAAGCACTGCTCTGGGGCTTAGCCTCCTTGTGTCTCAGTTTCCTTCTCTGTACAAGGGGGATAATAACAAAGCTTATTTATGGGGCTGGTGTGGTGTAATTAACTGATAGTGCGGGTGAAAGCACTCAGCACAGCTTACTGTTTGCTTTTAGAATCTCCTCCTCCTCGTTTTTTAAAATATATTTTTTCTTTATTGATTTTAGAGAGACAGGAAGGGAAAGTGAGCGAGAGATAGAAACATCAATGAGAGAGAACATCGACTGGCCGCCTCCTGCACACCCCCCACTGGGAATTGGGCCCACAACCTGGGAATGTGCCCTGACCGGGAATAGAACCAGCAACCTCTTGGTGCATGGGTCAATGCTCAACTACCAGCCGCGCATCCTCCTCCTCATCTTTTTATCCTCACCCGAGGACATTTTTTTGCATTTATCTTCAGACATAGTGGGAATGAGAGAGGGAGGAAAAGAGAGAGAGAGAGAAACATAGACATGAGAGAGACACATCAACTGGTCTCCACCCGCACGACCCCAAGTGGGGTTGGGGACGAACCCCAACCGAGGCATGTACCCTTAGCGGGAACTGAGCCCGGGACTCTCTGGTCTGCGGGCCGGCGCTCTAACCACTGAGCCAAACCGGCCAGGGCTCCTTCTCAATTTTATTATTATATTTCAGAGCCCACTGTCATCCAACCTTCTCACTCTAAGGATGGGGAAACTGAGAAGCCGTGTAGCGGGTATTTTGCCAAAGGAAGGGTGGAAGGACATGCTGAGGACCGAGTTGGCCCAGAGCTGTTTGCAGGGTGCGCTGGGCCAGCCAAGCTGGCACTGCCACAGCACCTCTCACCTGTGGGGGCAGAAGCCTCAGGCTTCTCCCTGCCTGCTCCCTGCGCAGAGCCAAGCCCTCAGGAGCCAGAGCAGGGATCATGCCCTGTCTCTCATACTCAAGTTCTCCTCCTGGAAGCCCCCAACATTGACCCCCATGGAAAATGACTTGCTTGGCCCACCCCATGCTCTGTGGGTGCGTGTGCATGTCTCTGTGTGTGTTTGAGTGAGAATGTGTGTATATCTCCAGGGCCAACTTTTCCCTTAGACACAGCAGGCACAGGGCTAGGGCCATTGACAATCTTAGGGGCCTATGAAAATGTTTGATTTGTTTTAAAATCTGAAGAAAATCTGAACGTCTAGGTAAAAGAAAATGTTTTAATATATAATGTTATTTGAAATATATATATATATAATACTATTTGTCTTTAGGTCAATGCAGTCGTGAAATATAATTTTAAAGAATTTGTTTTTTTTAGAGGAAGAGGTCATGAAGGCAACAGTGCCAGAGGCTTGTTGAAGTTTTAATGCGGTTTGTGTGTCTCTACTTCCAGTGATGTCTCTAGGAGGGTCTATGATAACAAAACAAGCCCCTACCACATGCCAGGTGTGTTACGGGTGCTTTACTGATATTGATGTAAACCTCCTACCAGCCCCATGAGCTGAACACTATTCTGTCCTCATTCCCAGGTGAGGAAACAGTCTCCAGACATCACTAGCTCAGGTTCTTCCAGCCACTAAATGATAGGGCCAGAATGTAAGCTCAGGCTGCCTAGATTCCGGGTCTGCCTATTGGGGGTATATGCCCAGTGTCTACACGAGCGTGCCCATCTGCATGCGCCTATGTTGACATACATAACTCATTTACCAATCATTAAAATCACAGGCTCGGAAACCCACATGCTGCATTCTTATCTCAGCTCTGCCACTCATTTGCTGTGTGACTCTAGGCAAGTGACTTCAACTCTCTGGACCTCCCATTTCTTTGCCTGTAAATGATCATTCCTACCCCATAGGAGTGTGGTGAGAATTAAACAAGTTAATATAAGCACTCTTGAAGAATTAGCCCTTGTTGTTGTTGTGTGAAAAACATCTATGTTCACCTGTAGTGAAGTTGTACCTGCCGTGTGTGTGTCATGTGTGCCGGTAACCATGTGCTGGTGTGTTTCTATGTGCAGGTGTGTGTGAAGCTGTTTCTCCATGTGGCTGTGTGTGTTGCTGATTGTAGGTGAATGCCTGAATGCCCGAGTGTGACCTGAGGAGTATATACCAGTGGCTGTGTGGATGTAGGGGCCACCTGTGTTGGGGTGACTGTCTTTGAGCAGCCAGGCTAGGTATTTGTATGTCTCCTTTATTTTGTGGGAGAGATGTGGGGCTTGGACAGGACAGGGGATTGAGGGGTCACTCCCTGTCTGGTGCTGGGACCGAGTCACTGCCTGCTGGTGGTTGGTGTGTCATCTCCTATTCCCTGTCCCTACTTCCAGACTGGTAGCAGACAGAGGAGGCGTGGGGGGAACAAGGTAGAAGTCAGTCTTGAGGCTGGGCTTTTGTCTGGAAACCTCTGCATTCCTGTATTGCCTCTAATGTCCCTACAGATGTCCCTATAGCCTTCCATATCTCCCTACCCCATCCCCACTACTGAGACAGAGAATCAAGACTCTCCCGGGAATCAGGAACCACCCCCTCCTGCTCTGCCTCAGATGTGCTGTGTAACCCTGAGCCAGACCTTCTTCTCTGGGGCTGTGGGATTCAACACTTTTATTATTTTTTTAATTTTTATTTATCTATTTTTATTTTTTATCCTCACCGGAGGACATTTTTCTATTTTTTGTTCAGACAGAGTGGGAGGGAGAGAGAGAGAGAGAGAAACATTGATGTGAAAGGGACACATCAAGTGGCTGCCTCCCGCACAACCCAAACAGGGACGGGGACAAACTGCACCGAGGTCCGTGCCCTTAGCAGGAACTGAACCCAGGTCTCTCTGGACCGCAGGCCAACGCTCTAATCGCTGAGCCAAACCGGGCAGGGCGGATTCAACAATTTTAAAGTGATTCTTCTTCTGAGCCCAGGTCTGGGCCAGGCTCTGCACTTGGAGGGAAGGGCCAGGATCTCTGAGAATTGTGAAGCAGCTAGTGGGATCCTTTCCAGTGGGTGCTTAAGTGTTGGACCCGTGGCTTCCAAAGCACCCAGATTAGACTCTCAAACCCCATTTCCCAACTGGGTGGCCTCAGGTAAGCAGCTTTACCCCTCTGCGCTTGGGTTGCCATAGTGTACACTGTGAGCAGACAGGAGCGGGTTTGCAAGGCTTATAGCTCTGGATGACTGAAAGCTGCTATTACCACTTAATCCCAACACCCAGCTCTTTTTCAGGGAATTTCACTGAACCAAGCAGCTCTCAGACATCAGGAAGAGAGTAGGACTCTGGAATTGGACAATTTTGAGTTTGACCATCTTCATCTTTCAATGGGACCTTGGGCAAGTCACCTGACCCCTCCAAGTATCATTTTCCCCTTTTACAAAATGAAGATTTTCCTCCCTAAACTTTCCAAAGTTGTTTTAAGGATTACAAATCTTGTATTGAAAGGCTTAGGATAGGAGCTGGCACTTGGTTATTGTTAAATACATGGCATCAATTATTATTATTAACCCCCCCACACCCACATTTTTACTGTCTGTGGATAATACAGCGAGAAGTAGAGGTTACCAACACCATCAGCAGGGACATTTCACCCTAAGTTTCATTACCCATCCCCTCCAAACCTGCATACCTCCCAAACTCTGGACCTGGGGGGCCAGTAGTGTCCAAGACATACATACTCTGTCCAAGCTGGGAAAAATGAAGCTGAAGCTCAAAGAAGGTAAACATTCCCCAATCTCGCACAGCTGGTCAGGGCAGAAGCTCCACAGAGCCTTAAGACTCCACCCCACCTCCACTTTCACCTGGAGAATCCCAGCCCCTCCCACCAGGCTCGGGACTCCACCACACTAGCCAGGGTCTCCTTTTGGAAATCAGACCTTCCTCCCGAGTGAGGGCGCTGCACTACCTGGAAAATTGGGAGGGGCTACTAGAGGGGAAGAAGATCAGCTAGCAGGGGTCTCCCGGGCCAAGGTCCTTCTCGGGACTTGCCCTGACTGGTCTAAGAGCCTATTAATACCAGCCCCCGGGGCGACGCGGCACTGCGCAGGCGCAGGTGGGTTCCGCAAGCGCGCGGGTTGAGCGCGCCAGCGAGCGAGGGATTCCCTCTGACGTAATTGCTAGGTTACCAAACAAACACTCTGCCTTGCCGGCCGAGCTCCTTATATGGCTAATTGCGTCACAGGAACTCCGGGGAGGCGGGGCCGGGATCCCCTCCTGCCGAGGGCTCTGGAACGTAGCCCCCGAGACCCCCGGAGCCGCAAAGGTGATGCAGGTGACCAGATCGAGGCTAGGGCAGACTTCTTGCCTGGCGGCACCGGGTTTAGTTCAGCAGGGCCGGAGATCTGGGGAAGTTTTCTGAGCGCGGGACGGGTGACGTAAGCAGGGGGGGCGGGTCCAGGCATATAAATACAGGCTGGCGGCTTTGGGGTTCATTCATAAGACTGAAAGCTACGGCCACCGCGGGGACACGCGGAGCTGGGAGTTGGGGACTTTATTGTTGTGGTTCTGGGGGCTGTGGTTTATTATTTTTTTCCGGAGAGAAAGTTTTTGGAAGGATTCTTCTAGATAATTCTACATTTTATTTTGGAGGACCCACTTACTTTTTTCGTCCTCTTTATTACTCCCCTAACCCCGTGGGACCCGCCGGACGAGTGGAGGAGACCGCATCCGAACCAGATTCTATACAGCCGGACAGCGCTTTCCGCCTCTGGGGGAGCGATCCCCCCGCCACACACACACTCCACCGGGTCCTGGACTTTCAGGAGGCACAGCGGCATCTTGTGGGAGCCTGGGCACCGCAGAGGAATTACACAGAAACTTTGCCATTGTTGGAGCGGGACGCTGCCCCCCACCCCGAGTTTCCCCGGACAGCGCACTAAGGGGACGGGCTCGGCTCATCTCGGACTCGCACCTTTCTTTCCCCACCCGGCCATAGCCTTGGCTTCCCGGCGACCTCAGCGTGGTCACAGGGCCCCCCCTGTGCCCAGGGAAATGTTTCAAGCTTTTCCCGGAGACTACGACTCCGGCTCCCGGTGCAGCTCCTCACCCTCTGCCGAGTCTCAGTATCTGTCTTCGGTGGACTCCTTCGGCAGTCCACCCACCGCCGCCGCCTCCCAGGTAAGTTCTAATGGGTTGGGGTACTGTTTTGTGGGGATTTATATTTTAAGTCAAGGGTGGAACGAGCAATCTCCCCACCCCAAATAAAGATGCGTCAAAACCTGGGATCTCCGAGGGCATAGAGCACTTTGCAAACTGCATAGTCCGGACTTGTTGGCAATTGGTCGTGTGAGTGAAGCGCAGGTAGGGAACGCAGAGGAGGAAGCTTTGGGCATGAGAAGAATGTGCCGTTTAGTGCAACGTGTATGCGGTAGCCGGACTGAGAACTTTTAGCTGGCTCCGGGACTGTCCCGGACCCAGGTCCCCAACCTGAAGCTAGTGTGGTTAGGCAGGTGGGGAAAATCCCGGGGAAGCTTCCTCCCTTTACCTTCTCCATTGGAGAGCCCACACGGGCGCTGGGTAGCTCTCGATCCAGCGGGAAGGTGGGCCTCGAAACCTTGGCTGCGCTGCCTCCGCCTCCTGCGCGGAGACGTAACGGGGGACCCGTGCGTAACGGCTGACGTTCTGGAACCCTCCGTCTGACGCGAGGCACGCACGGCGCGCGGCGCCCCCTTCGTCCGCCCCGCCCCTGACGTCCCGGGAGCGTTCTATTTTGGAACGCCGGGGCCACGTTGCTAGGGAGGGGGCAGCTCGGCGTTTCGATTGGTCGCCGCGCCGTGGGCTTTAGCCAATCAACTTTCCCTTCCTATTTGTAGGGTGCAGTTTCCTTTCCCCTCTGTTCCTGGAACCCGTGGTTCCTCGGCGCTAGGATCTCTTTTACCGGCCTCTAGAGGCAGAGCGAAGGGATTCCTGTCGCGACGGGAGCTACCCTCTGCAACACAATGGGTCCGCGAGGACCAGTCAGGGATCCGGTCCCTCCGCTCTGAGGGGCAGAGAAAGTCTGTTTGTAGGGCTGGGGTTTTTTCGGGAGAAATGGTGACTGTCACGCTCTTCTCCAGGCACACAGACACACTCCCACTCCCTCTGCTCCGGACTCCCGGTCCCTCCGAGGTGTCCAAAAACAGGACTAGAACCGCTAACTCTGGGAGAAGCAGCCAGGTGGTCTCCAGGAGTTCCGCCCCCTTTGGGTTTCCAGAACGCTAATTGGCTAGCGGGCCAGCCCATCCCTCACCACGCCCCCTGGGAGAGTAGTGAAGCGTTACGATACCATTTGGGATACCATTTGGGGATGGGGGAGATGAGCGCTGCTTGGGCTTGGGGGCTCAGGAGCTACACCAGTCCCCCTCCGCGACAGTCTCAGGGAGCCCGGGTCGTCACTTTTCCCTACTTGTATGTCCACCGTAACCTGTCACTGTCAGCCTCACTCTGGAGAGAGAAAATTACTTGAAACGTTGTTCTAAACTCCTAAGCCCGTCTCCCAACACGCTTTTGACTGGAACCCCCGCCCCTGCACAAGGGGGTCTCATGGACCCTCCAATCGCTCATCCTCTCGCTCAGAGGGGTGTGTGTATGTGTATGAGTGTAAAGGAAGGCTTGGCCTAAGGCCTCTCCCTCTCCCTCCCCTTGCCTCTGGGGTGGGGGTGGGGTGTTGTGGCTGTGTGTGTGGCTGTGACTCCCTCCCGGGGGTTCTGTCACCCGGCTGTGTCCAGCCTTCTTCCCACCCCCCACACCTAAGAGTCACCAACTCGGGGTGTGATTCACCACCCGCTGGAACCGTGCAACCTTTCCCCGAGGAAGAAGGAGGAGGTAGAAGCCAGTTGAGCAGAGATCCTCTCATTAACCACTGCGTCACGGTGTAGTGGAAGGGTGGGTGTTGTGGCTTTTTGCCTGTGACACACACATCCACACCCGCTCACCCTGTGCTCACTCACGGGGTCGGTGTGTATATGTGTGCTGGGTGTGTGTGTGTCGGTGTCTCTGTTTGTGTGTCTACGCCTGTATGTGTATGTGTCACCTCGTAGGAGTGCGCTGGTCTTGGGGAAATGCCCGGTTCCTTCGTGCCCACGGTCACCGCGATCACAACCAGCCAGGACCTCCAGTGGCTCGTGCAACCCACCCTCATCTCTTCCATGGCCCAGTCCCAGGGGCAGCCACTGGCCTCCCAGCCCCCGGCCGTCGACCCTTATGACATGCCTGGAACCAGTTACTCCACGCCGGGCATAAGTGGCTACAGCAGTGGTGGAGCTAGTGGCAGTGGCGGGCCTTCCACCAGCGGGACCACCAGTGGACCTGGGCCTGCCCGCCCGTCCCGAGCCCGGCCTAGAAGACCCCGAGAGGAGACGGTGAGTAAGAGGCATCAGAACATCTGGGGAGAGGAAACAAGAGAGGCAGGAACTTTCTCACTATTGAGATGAGGGGCCACTAAGGCCCCAGGGCTGCAGAAACCCCATAGTTCTTGCCACAGTCAGTGAGAACTAAAGGGTCCTTTTCTGGCTCCTGGGTGTTCTGAAAGAAGAGGAGGTTCAGGATGGGTGGGGGTGGTGCACCATGTTCCCAAACCTCATGGTCTTTATCTCCCCTACTCAGCTGACCCCGGAGGAGGAGGAGAAACGAAGGGTTCGCCGGGAAAGAAACAAACTGGCAGCAGCTAAATGTAGGAACCGTCGGAGGGAGCTGACTGACCGACTCCAGGCGGTGAGGATGGTCCCTGGGGTGGGGTTAGGGAATGCTGAAGAGGGGCTCTGTCCCCATTTCGTCATCCTCCCACCTGTGCCCTTGTCCTGGGCTGAGAACCAGAGGCTCCACATGTGGAACTAGGCACAGGTGTGGCCAGACAGGGTAGCCCTGTGCACACATAGACCCTCACACACTCATGTCTGCTCCCAGCCACTCTGCCTGGGCTTATGACCCCACCACCACCACTTCACTTCTTCCTGAGGGGACATATGAAGGACCTTTAATAGACGGGAGCTCCGGGCATTTCTCCCTTTTGGTCTTCGGCAACCTATTTTGCCTCAGTTTCTCCATTTCTTCTACCCCTCACTGGAGGCAGAAGCCTTCTAGCTTTAATATTTTAGAGAATCTATGAAATGAACTACTCTTCTTCTCTTCCCCACCATCCATCCCAGCCATGCAAAGTACTTATACTAGGGGCCAGAGGCACCCACCAATGCCCCCTCCCCTTTAACGTCCTCCCTCAGTCTGAGAGTGTCCTACCTCCAGCTTGCATTGTACCTGCTGCTACTAGAGAGACTCTGGGAAATTCTATTCCTCCCTGTGCCAACTGTTCCCTTCCCTGGGAGACAGAAGGGAATGGGTATCAGAGGTGGCATTAAAAACATATGACAATCATTCATTCATTCATTCATTCATTCAACAAACCTCTCAGTCCTCCTGCAACCAGAAATTTCCATTATGCGCCTGGCCACTTCCCAACCATCCACTGGGCACATGGAGAAGCCGAGGCTCCTGAAAGGCCAAAGACCCTAGCCCCAAGTTCCATAGTACAAGAGGACCCCACCTCAGGGGGACTTTCCTCTGGTCCAGAGCTGCCTTCCAGCCCCGGGCCTTCACAGCAAGTCGAGGGGATATGGCTTCAACCACGACCCACCTTCTCCAGTTGCTCATGCTCTTTTTCTCCTTCCTCCTTCTCCATGACCTGACCACCGGGGGCTCAGGAGACAGATCAACTGGAGGAAGAAAAGGCGGAGCTGGAGTCGGAGATCGCTGAACTCCAAAAGGAGAAGGAGCGTCTGGAGTTTGTGCTGGTGGCCCACAAACCGGGCTGCAAGATCCCCTATGAAGAGGGGCCGGGGCCTGGCCCGCTGGCGGAGGTGAGAGATTTGCCGGGGCCAGCATCCACTAAGGAAGATGGTTTCAGCTGGCTGCTGCCGCCCCCGCCACCACCGCCCCTGCCCTTCCAGACCAGCCAAGACGCACCCCCCAACCTGACAGCTTCTCTCTTTACACACAGTGAAGTTCAAGTCCTCGGTGACCCCTTCCCTGTTGTTAACCCTTCGTACACTTCTTCGTTTGTCCTCACCTGCCCGGAGGTCTCCGCGTTCGCCAGCGCTCATCGCACCAGCGGCAGCGACCAGCCTTCCGACCCCCTGAACTCGCCCTCCCTTCTTGCTCTGTGAACTCTTTAGACACAACACAGACAAACACACAAGGGGGAGAGATTTGGAAGAGGAGGAGAGGAGAGAGAGGGGAAGGGACTGAGCGGGTGTGTGGCTTCCCTGCCTCTCCTGCCTGACTCTGCAGCCACTGCCCTGGGACAGGAGGACCTCCTTGTATTTTGTGCTGCCTCTGTTACTGTGGCCAGGCGCGGCCAGAAAGCTGGTGACTTTGGAGGCACGGTGGGGAGGGGATGGACATCCAGCTGCCTGTTGGTCGTCTCACTTCAACGCAATCGCTGGGGACGAGTGGGTGGGAGGTGATGCCCACCTGTGGGCTGGAGGGAAAGGAGTGCGGGTAGTGGGTTGTGGGGTGGGCTGGAGTCCTCTCCAGAGAGGCCCAACAAGGAAGCGCCACAGTCCCCCCCCCCGCCCCCCTTTCAGGGAGGTGATTAGGCTGGTTCTCTCTGCTCTCCCGACTTGAGCTTATTTATCCAACATTTTCATGGGGCTCGCTCCTCCTCTGAATTGAGCCCCCCTGTAGAGGGAAGTTGATATCCCCCTCTGATAACCTCTTTCCCTCCACCCAGACTTAGTCTGAAATGTGAACCTCCTTCCCTGACTGTCCCTCCCGGCAAAACCAGCCCTGGTTGAACTTGTCAATTCCTAAGGGTCCCCCACATTCAGCCCCAGTCCTCCTGTCTGATTTCAGTATTATTCCAAGCTGCACCCCACTTCAGCCTCCCCTCCTGGCCTTCCTAGTTGGGCCTCTCTGATTCAAGCAGCAGGGGGCGCTGTGATGCCTGCCCTGCTGGAGTGTTTATACTGTGAAATGAGTTGGCCTATTGTCGGGGAAAGGGGGGCCCGGTGGAACAGAACCCTTTGCGGAGGGATTGTGCACCCCCACCCCCTGAAGCTTTGTAATGGTTTCTCATCCTATCATCTGCCTCCTTTCTCCCCTCAACAGTGAGTTAGATTTAAGGGGGTGACAGATTCGAGGAGAGGGTGACAGTTGTCCATCCGTGTGGCCTCTCTCCTCAGGACCCCCAGACCTGGCCTTTTTCTTTAAGGCCTGTCACCCTACCCTGGCCTAGGACGCCAATTTCTCTCTCCCCTTGGCACATCCTTTCTAGAAAGGAAGATGCCAGGGAGCCCGACATTTTTCCGGAGAAGATATCAAGGCTGAGGCTTTGGCCCCCACCCTCCAATACTTTTGGATTAGTGAACTCGGAGGGGCTGGGCTCCCTCTCCCCATTCACCCCCCAGTCCCAAATCTTGGTTTTGGCTCCCCACCCACCTCTCCTTGTGCTTCACCTCATGAGAATTTTGTTGTGAGGCAAATTGATATTTTTAAAAATCGGGTGGGCCAAGCCACCCTTGTGCTGCACGGAGAACATTCCACGTGCCCCCATCCTGCGCCTTCCACCCCGAACCGAGACCCCTCCCCCATAGCTATTTATCCCTTTCCTGGTTTCCGAAAGGCACTTATATCTATTATGTATAAATAAATATATTATATATGGGTGTGTGTGTGTGTGTGCGCGTGAATGTGTGAGCGCTTCTGCAACCTCGGCCTAGGTCACTTTGGCCCCCAAAGCCATGCCCTTGAATTGGAAACACTGCTTCTGGAAATTTGGAGGCAGCCTGTCTCTGTCCAGCTGTCCCTCGCTGTGTCTTTTCTGACTGTTTTAACCCCTCCGGTTTTTTCTGGCAGTCTCTGGCTGTCTCTTTCCCGAGTGTCTCTCCCCCTGTCTTTTCTCTGCCTTTGTTTCTCTGACCATTTCCACCTCTGTCTCCTTTCTGGCTGTCCCTGATCATCCAGCTGCCTTCTGACTTTGGGTTCGTTGGGGACATGAAATTTTATTTTTGTGAGTAAGCCTGAGGGATCATAGACCTTTACAATCTGTATCTTTGAGAATTTTGGATGCAAGTGTGAGACTGTGAGCAGGGTCTGCCCCTGCCGACCATGATTTATTGAATCCCCACCCCATTCTGTATTTGTGATTCTCTTTTTGTATTTTGCACCTGACCCCAAGGGGCTGGGACTAGCTGGCACTGGGCCACTACCCTCCCCCATGGTTCTGCACTGTCGCCAATAAAAAGCTCTTAAAGATATATCCACCAAGCCTCAGAATCTATGTTCTCCTGACATCCATCACCTGCTTTCCTTTCAACATGAGGGAGTGAAGGTTAGATGGCTGTGTGGACTACACACACGCGCGCACGCGCATGCACTCTGGAACACCTACTAGTGAATCAGCCTACAGCAGGATGGAGGAAGGGTAGACAATCAGGAGGACTTCCCACACACACTTTGTGCTTCCTGCTAGAAAAAATAAGGAGGCAGAATATTAGCTGTGAGGTGTGTGGTACTGAAATGCCAAAGAGCTATGGAGGTTTCCTTGTGAGGGAGGGACTGATGTTGGACCCTGTGTGCTTTGGGGATGGCCTGAGCAAAAACTGCACAAGTAGAGTAGCTTGAAGTATACATCCTGCTTTCCCGAAGAACACTGAAGTTGGGTTTCGGAAGCCATATGAACCAAAAATATGGATGATGAAAAATAGAAAGATGAGTTTCCTTTTGCTTTTTCTATGACTACTTCTGGGTTATTAATATATCGTGGTCAACCCAAGATTGACTAAACCAGAATTATTGTCACTTTGTCAAAAGATACAGCTGAGCCATCCCCGTTACAAAATCCACACCCTCACTTTTTTGCATAGCAGCAAGCACTCTGGGAATGGAAGTGAGGTTCCAGAGCATTCAGATGCCTAGTAACTTCAATGAACAAGCAGGGGAAGTGATCATGGTAGCATCACTTAATTTACTAATTATTTTTTAAATTTTGCTAAGCACCTACTGTGTACCCAGCCCTGTGCTGGGTGGCGTTGGAAACACTGCAGGGACTGAGACAGTCGCAGGCTATCTCTTCCTAGGGTTCACAGTTCAGTGGGGGACACAGTCAGGAATGATCCTATGTGAACAGGATTGGGAGAGTCCATAGGGCTGGGGGAGCTCCGTGGGGGGCATCTAGCCTGGTCTGGGAGTCGCGAAGGACTTTTTGGAGAAGGGAATAGCTAACCTGAGCCCTAGGGAATAGAAAAAGACAGGCTGATGTAACAGCCAATGCAAAGAGCTGTTGGTGGAGAGAGGCTTGATACTTTGAGAAAGCTACAGGTTTACCGTTGCTGGGACAAAAGGTGAAGGTAAAGAGATTAGCAGGGACCACATTCTACAGACATCAATTCCAGATGAAGAGTTTAGATCTTCTTTTGAGGGTACTGGGGAGCCACGGCAGGTTTGGGGAACAAGAAGGGCAGGGACAGTTTTGTGCTTTAGGAAGACTCCTCTAGCCTTTCAGGTTGAGGGTAGCTGGAAGATAAAGGGGCAAGACTGGGGAAGGAGACCAGGGAGGATGCTGGGGCAGGGCAGACACTGGGGGATGAGGGGGTCCTGGAACAGGGCTAGGGCTGTGGGAGAGAGAGAGGAGGTGAAGGATCTAAAAGTAATTTAGGAGGCAGAACAGACAGGACTTGGTGAGTAGCTGGCTTGGAAAAGACCACACAGAGAAGTGGTAAATAGCATGGACCAGGGATCTGAGAGCCTGGGGCTGGAGATCTATTAAACCTGGGTGACCTTGGACAAGAAACTTCATCTCTCTGAACCTCAGTTTCTTCAGCTGCATAATGCGCCTGTAGTGAGGAGTCAGTGAGGTCGTGTATGACAGTGCTGAGCGCAGAGTAAAGGTGCAATTATTACCATCCGCATCGCCATTACTGGGGCCACCGTGACTCGAACCAGGAATACCCCCCACCCCACCCTGCTGCAGGTTAATCCCCTCTCCTCCTTCAGGTGTCCGCCTAAATGTTACTCTGACACCCCAACCTAAACTCAAGTCTCCTTATTAGATAGTCCCACGTACTTTGTACTTTCCTTCTCAGTAGTCATCACCTTTCTAATTGTTAATCAAATGTGTAATAATGATTGTTTAATGTTCGTCTTCTCCACTGGACTGGGAGTACCATGAGGCCAGGGCTGGGGTCGTCGTCACCTTTGTGTCCCCAGCACCGCCCAATGCAGGACCCGGCATGGAGCAAATCCTTGTTGAGTGAGTGGATGAATTAATGAACAAATGAGTACATATTGACTGGCTAATAAAGTGCATGCGTGAGCACAAATGACTAAGTGGGTGAGTAAGTGAAAGGGAAAAAATCCAATATAATTCTCAAGCTAGATACCCTGGAACTGAGAGGGCGGATGAGTTTTTCTTCATCTTTTGCAGTTTTCAACATTCGCGGGAAAGATTTAACCACAAGAGAGCCGTGCGGCTTGGGATAGATTGTGATGCGGAGGACTGCAGCGACCTCTCCCGGCGCTGGCGTCAACCCGCACATTGAAGTCTTGTTTTGGGGGAGAAAAAGGGAGTCACGCCGCCCGAAAGGTGGAATTGAACCACTCTGTCGCTAGACAGCTACAGGTTTGAAGCCTGCACCCCAGACCACTGAGGATCATCCGGGCGAAATAGTGGCTTACCCAGCAAGCTATATAAAGGACAGAGTATGTATCCTATTATAGTTATGGTTATATAGTTTGAAATGTTGTGAGACTGTTTACCCCAATATTTACAAATTCTTACCAGTTATTTATTAGGTTAGGGAGACTTCTAAAATATTTTCTTTGCCTCATATGGTTCGAGTCTTCTTCGCTTTGCAAACAGTTTATTTGCATAGCGTCGCGCATTCTGGGAAACAGTTCTCGAGGACCTGGCCCACTCGCCTGTAGTTGTTAAAGGGCCAAAGCCCCTTTTTTCAAGTGAGAAATCAATTTTTCAAGAGAAGAGACTCATAATTTGGGGTTCGGAAGCCCTTTCCCTGAAAAATCCGAATCCGAGTGAGTGTGTTACTGTTAGAGAGTGATTTGGCCAAGCCCGGGAGGCTCCGGCTGGCGGCTGTAGGGCTGGTGCGACACCTGCTGTTCTTTTATGGAACTTCAGGAATTTACGAAGATGGATGTTACTTCAAGT